GCATGTATTGAAATGAAATATTTATCTCTTTTTATTTGTGATAAAAATAAGACTTTAATCTCGCATATGAAAATGAATAAAAACATGATGATAATGTGTTTGTTGTTAATTGTATTATAACAATGATTTTAAGATATACTATACATGACATGATGTATCCTTACCTGAATAAAACTATAAATGTTTATACTTACTAAATAATTACTCACTATAGATACTATGTAAGTAAGAATACTAGTACCTTACCCAAATGATTAGGTAGGGAAGTGACTCTCTTACAAATTCCACCTGTAAGTATAAGGAAAACTCTATCACTTGCAAGCAGGCGAGCAAATAGAGGAGAAGACTTGGGTATAATCTGAATACTTGAATGATGCATACAATGCCTTTAAGGTTGAGTAGCGACATAGATCACATGGTGCAAGTGTTATACGATCAAAATAGAAATAATAATATGATATAAATAAAAAAGATCTAATGCACAAATAATCAAAAATATATCTAATACATAAATAGATCTAGTTTCTGTAATGATCTATGATAACTTGGATTTCAATAGCATGATTTTGATACCAATAGTAAGAAATAAAAATTGTAATGTAGAATAACTTATTGTTAGGATTGAAATAATAAACATTGTAGATCAAGAACATATTGGTGCATAACTTTTGATGTGATAATCAACAAAATACCTCTATCACCTCAATGCATCTACATCATTGTAGCACCTCATAGATTTACATAGAAAGTTAGACTCATATTCTCCTCTCTTCCTATAATTAATGGAATAAAGACTTATTAGGAAGATGAGAGAAGAGGTTTCTATGATATATAGATATGGTTTTGCCAGTATATAAGTGAGAGCTAAGAATCTAGAAAGAAGAGAGTCTCTCCGATCAAGGTTTTCTCTTAGGGTTTCTTAACATAAATAGATTTTCTCTTCTATTAGCTAATAACTTTAATCATAATTTAATTAGATATTTAATATATCTTAACCAAAGTTAAATAGGGTTACACAATCTAATAAATTAGAAATTAGAGAATAGAGTTAGTACTATTCTTGAGATTAGCGATGCAATGGAGTAGGTGACTCGGTGGAGCAAGCGTACGACGAAACAGTAGCCCAACGAAGCAAGCACTTGGTTGAGCAAGTGGCATGGCAGACTTGTGAGAAGAGTCGATAACGACAAAAATCGAGAGTAAATAAGGGTTAGGATTTCTATCATATAGTAACCATCTAGTGATCTTAGAGAATATTATAGAGTACTTTAAGAAATTTAAATAATTTCATTAGCATCTGACAAATGGTGAAATGCTAATAGATAGCATCAATGTTTGAATATTTGTAATGCAACATCCAGATCAAATACAATTTGAAAAAAAATTACCAAACACTAATTCATATTTGAAATGTGCATTGATCCTCAATGTATTTTTCAAATGTGTTCTACATGCATCATAAATCAAAATAATATAAAATTAAAAGGATCAATGTAAGATATATTTTGTATGTTTCTAGAGCGAACTCCAACATTAAGCGTAGATTCTCCACAAATTTGAAACATGTTTCCTGTTGATAACTACTCGTTAAGGTCAACCAGCAAACAGTCAACTGTTCGACTTTGTTGATACCATTCGATATACAGATTCAAACATAATACAAGAGTTTTATATGATAAAATTCTATGGCACTCCCCACTGCTGGAGAGTATTATTACGTATGTCATACACCTTAATTTGTTTTTGTTAAATTGTATTCGTCTTGCAAAATTTGTCGAGAAGGTGCAGTAGACATTTCTCGATATACGCATCAGTGATGGTACAGAAGAAGAAGAAGAAGAGTAAAGAAATTTCAAAACTAAACTTTTTTTAATCATGATAACTCAAAACTTTTGACTCCTCATGTCTTAGCTCTTTTATCTCTTATCTCTTAGAATACTCGATTCATCGTATTGTCTCCTATTTATCAACCCAAAACTTTGAGTTCAACCAAGATTGACTCTTATCTTAACTAAGATTGTTAAAATAACCTCATAATTAATCATAAAGTTTAACATAATGTTCTAACATCCTTCACTAAATTAGACTTTGCAAAAATATATATTATAAGAAGTCTTGAAACTTGATGTAATCTCCTTTGATATCATAATAACATGTACCGTGCTTAAATAAAAAAAATTTTAAAAAAATAATAACACAAGTTATGCAATTCACAATAGTCATTTATGCATTGATTTGTCTTATCTGTCTCAATCATACTGAATATAAATTCAGTATGATTAAGATTATCATATACCAAAAAAAAATCTCTCACTCTAGCTTTTAAAAAAATTCTAGATTATCAACAAGGACCCTTTTAGCATAAGTATCAGGAAGATCTTCTTGATTTTTATCTATTAACTTATTCGGTTTAGTAAATTCTTGTTTTTCATAAGGATGTAGAAGTACTTTTATACTTTGTGAAAGTAAAATTATCATCTTCAACAAAAATTATGTTGTCAACTATTATATTTTTCATATCATAATATGCATCTTGTTCTTGCACGATTCCAACGCCGTTAATCTCAATATAAATATTATTGGGAAAATCCATCTGATGAGGTCTTCACTTTCTTTAGACTCTGCACAATAATAATCTATCTGATGTGGAGGACATATATCTTTTCCATAAAAATATTTTAAAATAATTTATTTTTTCTTTCTGTCTTAGCTTTAAAAATTTATGAAATAATACTTCCATTCGTAATTACTTGAAAGGTACCAGATAGACAATAGACATAGGAGATCATCAAGATGCAATGATTGATGGAGAAAGATCAACAGGCTAAAAAGATCACCTTCGAACTAGAGGATTGAAGGAACAAGTGATTATTCTTTTTTTAACTTTTTAAGTTTCTCATTATTACCTAGATTTAATATAGAAAATTGTTATACATAGAAAATTGTAATAAGAGTTCTTCTTGAATAAGAAGATTTAGAAAAAAATATTTTACATGGTTTTAAAGATGATCACATGATAGAGAGTTTGAGTCATTTTTTAAAAAATAAAAGGAATAGTTGATTCTTAATAGAGAAGAAGATAAGATAACACTAAAATTTATCTCTCAAGCAATTTTTAATTATTATTTTATGGATTTCTAAAGCTAAGACAAGAAGAAAAACTAAGTTAATTTTAGAATATTTTTAAGGAAAAGATATTTGTCCTGTGTGTTGGGAGAGGACATGGATATCTTATGTCGATAGAAATAGATTTGCAGTCGTAACTAAGACTTTTAAACCAATCACTTATCTAATCATAAATTTTAATTTAATATTTTAGCTATATCAAAAAATCTATACTTAATATTTTTCCTGAAAAGAATTGTTTAATCATACTGATGTTTCTTGATTAATGCATTGCCATATTCATTATCCAATTATTTGTTTCACGATTGTTCGATTCAATCTAGTATATTATTATTATTATTATTATTATTATTATTATTATTATGGATTCCGTTGACTATTTTATTTTTGTTGCCATGGACGTATTGAACTTGTACAAATGGCAAATAAGAGTGACCCGCCGAAGCCACACCATCGATATCCCCTCTACACGTGCGACCTCTATATATATATATATATATATATATATATATATATATATATATATATATATATATTAATGAACCCATAGCTTATAAACTCTATAATAATCATTACCATGCATCAATAAGTTGTCAGGTGCTACTCAAGATCAACCACATTAAATGTGATTTATTTTGTACAAGGTTCGATCTCTCTTGTAGTGCGCGCATCATGAAAGACAACGAAGGTACTGTAAGTGGAATACTCTTTAAGACAATGCGGATTAAAAGAGCAACTGATGTACTGAAAGTGTACAGTAGTAATATCTATAAGAATAAAAAGGGCAGGCAATCCAATAAAATACTATCATTTCTGAGCTATGTGTTGTGAAAGTTGAGAGGGTATGCTGCACCAGTTACGTACAACGAAGGATCGGAACCCACTAAAGCCCTCCCCTACTGTGCCTTTAAATATACACTAGCAAGTATCACGGAACATTCGTGCATCGTCCTATTTTGACTTCCTAGCTGGCATCCAACATGGCATTGTCAATATTTGGTCAATTAATCAACATCGTTAGGTCAATCTCTATATGCTCTGTCGATTCCTTTTGTCTTTCGTCAAGCTGCGTTGGAACAATAGAGTTGACATCGGTTCATTGAGTTGATACATGGAACACGGAAGGATGAGGGAAACGAACGTAGCCAATCAGAGTCCAGGCTTTAGAAAGCATAAGAGGAGAATCTCCTCCTCCTCCTATGCATGCAAATGAGAACCGGTTCTCACCGTGTTTTAGATGACAGTGGCAGGGCTGTGACACAGTCCAAAGAAGGGAGGATGGTCCATCTCTTTCCACGTGAAATTGTTGCCCCCCAGCATGCACGTCTCTCTTGATGTTGACTAATCTACTAATCTACAGAAGAGATAAGATCGATCGGCCATAGGGGAATACGGTCCCCCAGTGATTCGTCACCACTGGTTCTTGCATGTCATGCACAGTATCAAGCACTAAGCACTGAAGGCTATTCTCTCTCCCTTTGTAGAACAACGGAAACCCACTCTTGCAAACGTTCAAACGAAAAAGACATACTACTGTCATTGATTCATGATCGCCGGACTCAGCCGGGGAATCAAAGAAATCTGATGTCATGAGGTATCAGCCAACGAGGTAGGACGCGTTCATGGTCCCCTTGACAACTACACTCGATCTTTGATTGATTTGTTCATAGCTTTGACTCGAGTCTCATCGCAGCATGCTTGAAGAGGGGCACATCTCCATCGGTCCTATTAAATAGTTAAGCACTTAATCCTACCGTTAATTCTAGTGAACGAACTCTCGACCAGTAATTAATTGCTTCTCCTCTTCTTTATTGGCGACTATTGGATTCAGTGCATATGCGTGCGAATAGTCCACTGACTCCGACACCCTCCTTGGCTGCCCCCCTTGCCTCCTTAGTTAGAGAGGAGGCCATCTCAAGCATCGTTCCCCGCACCGCACCAACGCTCTCTTTCTTGCCGTGGCAATTTGAAGATGAGGACGATGATGGACTTGGGGAGCCAAAGTGGTCTCCACATCATCGATACGTCGATCGCCGTCGACTGCACGAGGGACGTGCGCCTCCGTCGCACCCTCCGCAGCCTCGTCCAGCACATGGTCCCCTGCTGCGTCTTCCCACCCTCCGACGCCTCTCACGACTTCGTCGACACCCGCTCCACCCACGGTTCCGGCTCTTCCACGACCACCATCGTCACCGGTACCTTCTTCTGCTACCGCCGCGGTCGCGTCAGCTTCTGCCTGCACGACGAACCCTCCCGGAACTCGCCCATCCTCCTGCTCGATTTCACCATCCCCACCGCCTACCTCGCCAAGGAGATGCAGCATGGCGTGCTCCGCATCGCGCTCGAATGCGACCGCTCTCGCCCTCGTTCATCGATGCCCATGGCGCTCTTCAGTGTCCCGTCGTGGTCTATGTACTGCAACGGCCGCAAAGTGGGGTACGCCGTCCGCCGGCAGATGAGCGAGGACGAGGCGGCCATCTTCAAGCTCATGCAATCCGTATCGGTCGGCGCCGGAGTCGTTCCCAGAGAAACAAAGTCTGGCAGTGGCGATCTCCTGTACCTTCGGGCGAGCTTCGAGCGGGTCATCGGGTCGGTGGATTCGGAGTCATTTCATATGATCAATCCGGTTGGAAGCACCGGGCAACAGCTGAGTATATTTCTACTGCGAACTTAGGCATCCTTCCATGTCTCTCGCTCTCTCTCTCTGTCTCTCTGTCTCTCCTTTTCTTGGCTGTACATATGGTAGTAGATTGATCTGATAGAGTGCATACGCGCTTGTTCTCTGTAAGTGGTACCACAGTTAAATGAGAAAGTGTTTTGTCACATCCTGATGCACCGTTATTTAATTGGTAGAAAAAAATTACTAGGGAAAAGCTCAAAGGCTAATTATGTTTTACTTCAATGTAACTGCAACTGCATGTTAACAAGTTTATGAAAGCTTCGAATGAATGTTAGGAAGAAGTTAAATGCACGAAAGGACTGACATCTTAATTGAACTTAAATGGAACAAGCATCATTGTCATAAACAGTAAGCCGTCGTAGTTTATTCCTTTCCCAGCACACAGGGAGTGCGTGAAAGAGTAAATGATAGTTATAACTGTACGGAATAAACATTAGTGATTAATGTGTCGGTTCACATTCTGCTTCGTAATGGGATCAGTCATTGTGGTGGCTTCCAGCTAGATGCGACCTCTCCCCTTGGTTGGATTGTATCGGAACCCGACAATTTCGACATTAATTAGGAGAGGCACAGGTGCGTGCGGGGGTGGCCGGCGGTGGGGAACTTTGGTGGAGACGACATGCGCGCGCACGAGCAGTAGGTCTATATTATTGCGTGTGTGTACCACATTTCAGTATCGGAGACCTAAACCTCCGCCGGATGTTTTTAGTCGAATGGGCACGTCCCCCGAAACTGAACCAATCACATAACACGACAACATACGTGTCCGGTCGTTCCTGCAGCTCCCACTTTGTGTTGCATTTTTTTTTAACGTTAGTTGCACTTGCTTGTGGGGGGGCCTACTTCTCGTGGGCATCAATTCCTAGTCAGCATGCTTCCCGGACAATTCATTTGCAACCTTCCCACTTCCTAACGGCTGCTGGAATCGTGACGTGGAGTGTGTTGGGGGGAGAAACTCAACGATGAATAATAAAAATTATAATAATAATTTGATACAAATTAATATGATTTAACACTCTTTGTCTATATTCATACAGAAACCTAGATTCTTCTATTACATAAATTATAAAGCTCTCCAATTAATTCTAATTTTTTTATATTTTTTTTTCTCATAATCTCTAGGCTCCTTGTACACACCTCATATAAATACTTAAGAATTTCTACTACTTTTTCGCTTACTCTCTTTTAGACTCCTAGAAAAAATAATCATATTAATATCTAGAGCAATATTACAAAAGGCTCATCTTTCTACCTAAATCTCTAATCCTAATCTAAATTTATCAAAGAATACTCAAGATCTTCTCACCAAGCAACTCCTTACTCAAATCTCTATCATTATTTATTATAGAAGTTATAAAGATTAAATTTTTCATTCATACGAAGAGTTACAAAGTCCTAAATGAATGAGCATATTTTTTAAGGTCCCTAATTTTACCAAGAACCTGAATGTAAATATAAAACTTATGGGGACTAAATTGCAAATAGTCGATCGACTTCATCCCTTTAGCTCCCTAGAATAAAAAAAAAACAAAAAGAAAAATTATCGAGGACCGGTTTTGATACAAATGGATTCACAAAAAAATATATTAGGTATAGTTTTCAATACACTTGCTTTTATATTAATTAGATTTATATTTTAGATTATAGACTGAGGAATCTTCATGTTCTTACTTGATTGGATATTTATGTTAGGAAGAAAATAAAAGAAGGAAATTGGTCAATTAAAAAAAAGGTTAAAAAAATCAGAATATATTATATCAAGGATATACGATCAGAATAAATATTCGATAACTTCATCTAATATATTTTCAAAAGTATTAAAACATACATTTGAAATTGATTAATACATATTATTTATATGATTTATAAATCTTTATTATTTAAAAGTATTGTAAAATAATTAAAATGTTAAAAATTTGGAAATGCTTATAAGTGTTTTTAAGTTATCTTATCTAAATTTATATGAAAATATTTATCTAGCATTATATTTGAAAAGGATTAGGAAAATAATATATGATTACATCCTTTATGAAAAATATATATAAAAAATATTTATTAAACTCTTAGTTTTATAAGAAAGTAATTGATATGTTATTTTTCATGACATGCCAATTGTGTGGTTAGTATGCCTATAATTTGAACCATGGAGGTTATACATTTGTTGTATGTTTGACATAGGGAGAAATGTGTTACCTACACTATGAGGTTTAAACATAATTCTCAACTTTATCACAAGGAAATAACATGATCATAGTCATTGATGCAATTATGATTTCTGTTTCCACATATGCACTTTAACTATATTTATACTTATAAACCCTTAGCTAAAGATGATAGTCTTTGCAGTACAATGCTTTATGCAATGATATGTAACATTTGATTTATGCATACTTTCATTATGAAAATATATTTAAATATATGCTAGTCATGATTTGAAATGCATATATTGATATTTAAGCATTTTATGTTAACAATGTCATGATTTTGAAACATATGTAAAGTTTAAGTTTTCATAAATTGTATGAGCATAATGTATTTGATATACATGCAAACTTCAAAAAGCATGTGCTAAATGCATAAAGATTTTATATATATTTTTTTAAAAATATTTATTTATGATAAGTTTTGACTAACATGTGAGTCAAGTTGTTTACTAAGCTATAGTTTACTCGTATGATTATCTTTCAAATTTTTAAAATTGCACAATAGGAGCATGGATTAGTTATTTTATATACTGAGATTATTATATATTATGATTATTTTATATATTATTTGGATTGAAATTTTATAAATTTTTAAGAAGTTATTGGATTTATTGAATGCCATTGGATTGGCTATGGATTGAGTTATGTTATTAATGTCTTGTGAGTTGATTAATTATGAACTGAATTATATAATAATTATATTGTGAAAGCTATTTTGTTTTGGTTTTAATCTCCTATTCTTATAGGAAAACTTATAAGCTCGTGGCATTGTACTCATCCCCGACTTTCTATTGGGTTGGGGGCGTTACATAATTCTTGAGGGGAAATAGGGAAATTATGATAGTATAACCTTATTATGCTTAGAACTGAAGGGAATTCGAAAAGTAATTCTCACTCTCATTCTAATTTAAATAGAGCTGAAGAAGTATTCTTGACATTTGAATGGTGAAACAAAGAGTGTTTTCTCTATCGGTAATTATGCTCCAGATTCATAACATTTAGTGATCTAATGATTTTTTGGGACATAATCTTCTTGAGAGAATGTACGTAAAAGTTTGTTTACCGTGAAAGTTCTATTTTTCAATAAGTTTATTTTTTTTAAATCGTTTAAATTGAATTAAAAATCTAATCTAAATTATAATTTTAACTTAAATCGAATTAGGATGTATTTATACATGAATTAGGATGTATTTATATATGAATTAGGATGTCATTTGTTAGTCTTGCTTTGTTTAGAAAATTGCATGTCTTATATCGTGTTTATACATATGTATGTGATCCTTTGAGGATAAAAACTTCTGGTGGATCTATTAATATTCTTGGCATTAGTGGTATACTTTATTTTGTCACTTTTATAGATGATTTTTCAGGAAAGTTTAGGCCTATGCTATGAAGACCAAAGATCAGGTTATTAATATCTTCAAAGAGTTTCATACTAGCGTTGAAAAGGAGAAAGAAAGACAATTGAAATACATAAGATCATATAATGATGGCGAGAATACATGATTGTTTAATAATTATTCCAAGTCACATGACATCCAACATAAGATGACAGTTCCTGGTACACCTCAGCATAATGTTATTGCAGAGAGGATGAATCGCACCATCATGGAAAAGATCAGATGTATGCTTTCACAAGCCAAGCTACCCAAAAAGTTTTAGGATGAGGCTTTAAGGATTGCAGTTGATGCGATCAACTTATCACCATGTACAATCCTAGTTGGTGATGTTGTAGAGCATGTATGGTCAAGGAAAGATATTTCCTATAGGCATTTGAGAGTGTTTAGTTGTCGTGCATTTGCATATGTTCCAGACAATGAGAGGTCTGAGCTGGATGGTAAGACTAAAGAATGTATTTTTCTTAACTACTCACATGATCATTTTGGTTACAGGCTTTCGGATAAAAAAAAGCAGAATGTGTTAAGAAGTAGAGATGTAGTCTTCTTTGAAGATCAAACCTTTGAGGATTTGAAGAAGAAGGCACCAGACATGACTTCTACAGAAGGATTAGAAGATTGTGACTCAATTACTCCTCCAGTATATCAAGGTAATGGAGGAGATGTGCAGGAAGATGGTGTAGAGCCTGATGTTGATCTATCTACAAGACATGTTGAGCAAGAAAAAGTTGGAGAACAACTTCCCATAGAACCTCAGTTGAGAAGATCTTCTAGACAACGTTAACCTTCCAAAAGATACTCTACAGATGAGTATGTGATGCTTACTGATACAAGTGAATCAGAGAGTTACTAGGAAGCAGTTAAAAGTAAGCAGAAAAATAAGTAGTTAGTTGCTATGTAGGAAGAGATGGATGCTCTTCAGAAGAACCATACTTATGATTTGGTACTACTACCAAAGGAAATGAAAGCCTTGAAGAACAAGTGGGTTTTCAGGTTGAAGACTCGTGAATATTGTTCTCAACCAAAGTACAAAACTAGATTGATTGTGCAAGACTTTGGTTAAAAGAAAGGTATTAACTTTGAAGAGATTTTCTTCTCCTGTTGTTAAAATGTCTTCTATTCATGTTACTCTTAGTATTGATACTAGCCAGGACTTGGAGGTTGAACAATTAGATATAAAAATAGCTTTTCTTCGTAGTGATTTGAATGAGAAAATTTATATGAAACAATCAGAAGGCTTCAAAGTCAAAGGTAAAGAGAACTTTGTCTACAAGTTAAGGAAGAGCTTATATGGGCTAAAGCAAGCTCCAAGATAATAGTATATACATCAAAATGGATACAAAAGAACAGCTCCAAATTATTGTATGTACATGAAACAGTTTGGTGAGAATTTTATTATTCTCTTAATTTATGTTGATGACATGCTTATTCTTGGGAAAGATATGTCTACAATTGACAGGTTGAAGAAGGAACTGAGTAAGTCTTTTA